ACCTACTGGGTACCTACTGGGTACCTACTGGGTACCTACTGGGTACCTACTGGGTACCTACTGGGTACCTACTGGGTACCTACTGGGTACCTACTGGGTACTTACAGCTAGCTACACATACTGCGAGTAACGGAGAAAGAGAGATGGAGTAAAACCTAAGAAGGTAGACAGATATAACGCCAAAAGAAATCATGATCCGACCACCGCGTCCACCTGCTCGTATATAGAACAGAGAAACTCAACGCGCGACAGGGGGAAACAGAAGAACTTAAGGCGCACATGCGGGTAATGGAGAGCCTTTACGCGCTCCAGGAGAAACTAAGAACGCAAGTCGATAGCCAGCTACTACAGATCTTCTCTTATACAGATGTCTGCGAGGAGAGGTGACGGAGGGCTCTGGGGCGGCGGAGGAGGACGGAAGGCGGGTGAGTGAGGAAGGGACACGCGGCGAGTATTCAGAAACAGATTGATGGAGTGCGGGAGCGGCTGGAGAGATCAGGAAGGTAAGATGATATCTACACAAGACAGAGAGAATTAAGAGGTATAAGCTGATACCTAAACGAGGTCGAAAAACTATCGCAGGAAAGTAACCAGATATCTACACAAGAAAGGGAAAAATCTGATATCTAAGCGAGGCCGAAATATTATGACAGGAAAGTAAGCAGATATCTACAGAAGACAGGGAAATTAAGAGATGTTATCTGATATCTAAGCGAGGTCGGAAAGTCATGGATGCCTTAGATGCCCTATGCACCTCCAAATCGCAAGCAAATATATCACTGCATATAGTATATACTGTCATAGATACTTTCCCAGGGCGCAAAGAACTGAGGGCAAAACGGGTGGTGGCAGAAAACAGATGGATGAAGTGGAAAGCAGGTATCTGAACATTGTGATATTTAAAGATGGCGAATTGAAAGTAAGCAGATGTATGCAGCTGTCGCAGCATGCACAGCAAGCAAGCGGCAGAGGGTTTGAGTACGTCACTCATACCTGAACGAGGGTTTGAGTACACAACAACACAGAAGGTAGGCAGATATCCACGTATAGAAATCTGGTCGAAAGGCGTCTAAGAAGGTTTAAGAGGCGGTTAGAGAACTTACTTATAGGCGTTCAAGAAGCGAACAGAAATCTAGAAGGCATGTGCAGAGGTAGCGGCGGTAAACAATATGTTGTTAGTAAGTCTTCATTCAGCGATAGGAAGACCTTCCTCCATGTACCTCGTAATAACGTGTAATTAATATTGCGTCGCGAAGCTCAATAAAACCAACCCTATCCTCCACACGCTGCTGCACGTAATAATAATTTAAAAATGTAATGCTGCATTTACGTAAGCACCGCACACATGCAGAGCTCATTGAAGCCCCTGATGCTTCGTATCAACGGGAGATATAATCTATTTATAGAGACATTTGGCATTATTAACACCTGAATATAACTCCGGATGCGCGCTCGGTCGTCGGCCAGCCTATACCTAGTAGCGGATCCTACCTATCCGCCATCTCGCGTCAGTAGAATGTTCTAGACTTAGTTATTCACTCCGCACCGCCGAACCCGTACCCTGCCCCCCGGATCTCGCCTACCCTGTACGTCGTCGCCGCTCCCGGCTGCTTCTCCACTGGTTGAACAACGATGTATGCGTGCAGGAAGTGCGAGGCGATGGTGGTTGGAAGGAAGGGCGTGTTGGCGTCCTGGAATACCAGCGCCACGATGTCGTTGCCAATGTGTCTCTTTCTCTGTAGCTGTAGGTAGCAGAAACGCAGAATCTCGGGCGGAGATGGTTTAGGAGTGTCTTTGATGCCCTTATTTATACGTATGCTGAAACGGGCGGAATCTAACCGCTTTTGTGTGCATGTAGACTTAGAGATTCTGAACAGGCTAGTACGCATATAACCCGTACCGAGTTTTGTCGAAGGAGATCCAATTTTTCGTTTCTCAACGTGAATACTTCTCGCTTTACTTCCTCGAGTTCTTCTTGAAGGCCACCTAGTTATGGAGAAGGTAATCGATATTTCAGTAAGATTGTTAATAAAGAGATTGCTAATATATTGCGTTAATAGATTTCCGTTCTATAAAACCACCTGTCGCTCCTTACTTACTACCCATCGTGTCGACATAAAATCGTGAGAGATCATTTTCAATAGATTCATTTAGATGAAGATGATGTCGTGATACGCGGGTTTTAAAATATCCAGCTGCTTATATCATATCAGAAAACCCGTTTAAATTGTTCGTAAAAACGTAAAACTGTAAAGTAAAACTGCAAAGCCCTGCAATAATCGTTTAAACTTTTAAATAATTTATGCACTGTTCATGATACAAAATACACGAAACAGAAAACTGTCTCGTCTATTTTTTACGAGCTGCACGGAAGCTAATGTTTACCTCCCGCATCTTGAAGCGAGTGGGGACATCTATCTTCGTTTATACAGCTGCAGGGGCCATTCGACATGTGCGCAGCCTGGTGGAGCTTGACCGTGTCCGCGGACGTCATGCATTCCTAGAGACACCGGCAATCGATCCGAATTATAACATCGCAAATCAATAATACAGCAATCTACCATTCAACGGGTAAAGAGCAGGGAGGCAGGGTGATAAATTAAAGCACTTTGATACTTCTACCGTTACTAAAAACGTTCCCGGATGCATAACCATAGAGGAAACGCTAGTAATGTTTCTGTCGCCGATATACGAGAAAAAATTAACGTTAGAACTAATGTTATCGCAAATTCTCGTTCTGACAATGAGCCGCAAGATTCCTATCCGTTTCTGTCACTGTTACCGTTAAGACACGTTAAC